CTGCTTCCTCCTCTTGGATGCTCTGGGAAGTACATACAGCTTTATTGTATTCATCCCACAGCTGTTCTTTTGCCACCTGAGTGTTCTAGTGGCCTGGCTGTGTCTGGCACCTCTCAGCGGGCACACCTCCTACCCAGCCCTGGGAAGAAGCCTGTAAACTAGCACAGTCCTGTTGTCCTGCCAGACCAGCCTCCTCCCAGGCAGGTACCCTGACCTGGACACCATGGAGACAGGAAGGGAGTGGCCTGCCCCTGCGGCTGATTCAGAGGTTCTTTCCAGAGGCAGAAAATGCTGCTGGCCAGACCCACCTTGGTTGCCTGACCTCCCTGCATGTCAAGCAACTGTGAGCAACATGGGATTTGTCCCCAAGGAAGCCAGGATGGGGATAAGGGCTACAGAACTCTGTCTCATAGATGGTATATAAAAGGAAGGCCAGAAGGCCAGGGCAGGCAGGCTACTGCTTCCAAGACTGAGAATCTGTCACAGGGAAGAGGAAGTGCTCTTTTGGAATGACCTCAAAGGTGAGGATTATGCTGATGGCTGGGGCCTCAGCTAGCACCCTGCGGCTGCAAGTAAGGAAAGACTTTCTAATTATTGGATCTGTCCCAAGGAGAAGCTAAATAAGAGAGGCAGTGTTGAGTGCCCCATCCCTGGAGGTATGTGAGTTAAAATTGGATAAGAAGGTGACAGAGTACTTGGGAAGAGCTGGTCCTTTCACCTCCGTGGAGACCTCATCCAAGTAGATGTGGGTAAGTTAGAAGGGGTGGTTTGCCTTGGTCCCACAGGAAGTCCCACCCAGGGGGCTGGGCTGCTGGTCATTCTGACCTGGGGCCTGGAATGGATGGCAGGAGCAGGATTGGCAGAACCCAACAGTAAATGCTTCTTGTTCCTCTTCCTCCTTTCTCATTGATTCCCTGCCTTGGGGCCACAGAGTGTGCCAGGATTCTGAGCCAAGACTAGCCGTGGCGAGAAAAGATGACCCTTCCTTAGGCAGGTTGGCTCCATGAAGAAGAAATGGACACATCAGGACACTTTCACACACGGACAGATGCCCCATAGGGGAATGTCAAAGCGACAGGACCAGAGTAGGACTTGGGAGAGTGGCTTGGCCAGTCTCTTCCTTGTGTAGATGTGGCCTTGGGCCAGAGGGGAAGGCCACCCCCAATGTCCATCCCCCGGAATGCAAACCCAGGGCTCCTGCCTTCAGAGGCTGCCTTTGCTGTGATTCACCCTCTTGTAGCTGTGTCTGCAGGGAGGGGTCCTTTCACATATCCAGACCATCCATGTATACGGCTTTAAAGTTATGTCTTTGCCACTTAGGCCCAGAGGAATTCTACTGGTAGGGGAAAAATAACACTGTGGGAAATTTCCCTGCCAGCAGGAAGTCTAGATCCAGTCTGGCAGAGGCCTGGTCCCCCCCAGGGAAGCCCTTCTCAGGGATTTTGTTCTCCACTGTAAAGATGGAATCTTGGAGAAAGGTATAACAACACCAGGGAAGCAGGGAAGCAACAGATGTGACTCCAGGCTTGGCTGCCTCCTGCTGGCCTGGTGACAACTGTTCGTGTCCCTTGGTACCCTTGTGCTCGAGGGACGGGATGGTTTCCATACCTTGGTGGGTGTGAGGAGGTGAAGTTTTAAGTGCACAGGGTGTGCGTATGTACCAGTGTCCCCGTCTGTAGGTTGGAGCAGATCATATAATACTAACTCACAGAGCTGTGATTCCCAAACTCCACTGCCAGGTCGCCTCGGGGTACTGCGGGATGTTTTCACGTTCAACTGCGTTTGTCTTGGAAGCTGCGCTGCCCCGGGTAGCAGCTCGAGACCACTCAGTCTCGATATCACATCGTTCCGCTTCCCTTGCTTGGGGCCACATCTTAGCAATGCTGGGCACTTGCGGGTAATTGGGGACAATAACAAGGGTGGCAGCATCCACTCCATATTTACAATTTGGAAGTTGTGCAGTGGCCGACAGGTGCACATACCCTCATTAGTAAGTCACCGTGGCTATTTAGGAATGGATTAAGAACAATTTTTTTGTTTCAATATATGCTAAGTATTTTTCCAAATGGCTGCTAAGTTCCTGGGCTATAAATACTTATGGGCCATTTGGATCCAACTCCTTAATAATGATTTCCTACCTGTTGGGACTATTTTTGCGGTCTTGACATACCATTAAAAACAGGTATTGAGATACTAAAAAAACCTCTGGCCACCTGTGCAGATAATCGGAGGGACTAGAACACGTCCTCTAATCAGGCCTGGCAGAGATGTCTAGAAGACTTCTTCATCCCGGTCCAGGTTGAGACAGCAGGGCGCGGCTTGTGTCATCCCCCAGGGGACCCTCTGAGGCCCCTCAGCCACCCAGGCCACGCCAGGACCAGAAGTGAAGGCAGGCTGCGCTCAGCTCTGCACTGGCTACACCCTTCTCTCTGTGCTGCCATTTTATTTAACTTGCAGCCTCACTGCACACCTACTGTGTGCCAACCAGTGGAGGTGGCCTTTGATTCCTTTTCCCAGCCTCTGGGCAGTGTCTGCCCTGGATGCCGGAGTGGGGATGTGGGCACAGGAGCAACCGACACATAGCGAGCCACCTGGGCCACCATACGGAGGCCCTGAAGGGGACACTGGCCCATGTCCCAGACGCAGGCAGGCTCCAGTCAGTGGGGTGGGGCAGGGTGGGCGGGACCACCACGCTAATGGATGTCTAATGTCCGTGCTCCTGCATCCTCCCAGACTGGGCACTTTATAAATGAGCCACATTAGGGTTATAAAACAAAGTTGTAAATGCAGCCTGCAGTGAAGCAGGGTGGGGTGGAGAGAAGGTAGGAGACAGCCTGTGTGACATTCCCCGAACGGAGGTGGGTCCCCGTTTCCTGAGTTTCCTGAATGGGCTGCCGAGCGAAAGAGTGAGGGGCTGGTGAGGCCAGGCTGTCAGAATCTGCAGCCTCAGCCCTGCTGTCCCCGCTTAGGGTACTACACAGGTGGGAGGTGGGTAGGGCCTGGCTGGTGCCCTGCTGCCCACCTGTCGGGGAGGCCTCTGTGGCCATCCCAGGGTGGGTGTGGTGACCAGTCACCAGGTGGCCTCGGGCAAGTCACTGGCCCCACTTGTGTGGTCTTCAGTGTCCTCAGCTTTGAAATGAAAACGACAGTCCCTGTCTTGCTAGCCCTTGGATGAGAGGCCGTAAACTGTAGAGTCCCAGCCAGCGTCAGGATGCTATTAGGTTTCTCTGCTTTAGGAACACGATGTTACAGCAGTTGGGTGAGGAGTCTTGGGCCACCTTCCAAATATTGATGTCTGTTTCTTGGGTTCAAACTTTGGCGTGGTCTGTCTCTAGCTAGCTGTGTGAGCTTGAGCAAGTAGCTTAGCCTCTCTGAACCTCAGTTTTCCCACCTATAAAGTGGAGACTAGCAGAACATACCTTACAGAGTTGTTGGGAAAATTAAACAGCTCAAGGACAAGGCCGCAGCACTGGACGCTCACTAAGACTCATTCTTTCTTGCAGTACCGTGTACCTGCTGTGTCCCAGGTCCCTTTCCAGGCATTCATGCGGTGCTCACAGAACACGCAGACGAGCTGCTTCTCTCCTCACCCAATGGCTTTCCCTTCCCTCCCTCTGTTGTTGCGCCTGTCTGTCATCTGTCCGTCTGTGTCTCACACACACTGCCTGGGACCTGTAGCCAGTGACGATCGTGCATCACCCCCGAGACCACCCAGTCTTGGTGGGGTCTCGTGGTCCACGGAGAAACTACAGCCAGCCACGTTGTGCTTTTCTGGTCTTGGAAACCCAGGTGTCCATGGCCCCTCGGCCTGGAGGGGGCTCACTAGAGCCACACGTGGTCCCCACGTCGGTGTCCTAGGGCCCCTGCTGAGGCAGCACCTGACTAGCAGGGACCAGGAGACGTGCCCACCCCACCCCTCAGTTCTCTGTTTCCTCCAGAGCAGTGGGTGGAGAAAGATGAGCCCCCACAGCTTGACCCCGGCACCTCATTGTCTGCATCTGGCACTGAAAACCAATTTTCCGAAGTCAGTCGTGAGCCTTCGTGAGCCGATGGCCGGCCTGGCCTGGTTTCCTCCCACTCAGTGCCAGCAGGCGCTGCCCCCTCCCTTCCTGTTTGCCTCACCTCCCGAGGTGCTGCTCTGTCCAGGGACACAAGCATCCCCATGTGCCCCTCTGAGGGAGGAGATGGCCGTGCTGGGAAGAGGCCGTGGGCTGAGCGGGTCGGTCAGACCGAGAGCCCAGCTCTGGGTGGGGACCCTCAGTCCTGTCTCCATGGGTGCTCTGGCTTCCTCACGGGGCAGGCCTGCAGGGGATCGAATGCCAAGGAGGCCAGGCCTGGTGCCGCTACCCCCGGCCACTCCGTGCCCCAGGACCCTGGCTGTCTCTTGGAGTCATCAGCCTGACTGGTTGGGCTGCACAGGGCAGCAGTGGCTTCGGGGCAGAGCTGGCCTGGTTTGAGTGCCAGCCTCGGCCCTTTTTCCAGCCTGTCACATACTGTGGCACCTCCATGGGAAATGGGAGTAAGGCGGGGCCTTGCAGGAGCAGGGGACCCTGGGGAAAGCCAGGGAGTGTCCTCGTCCTGAGATCTGGCCTCCCTGGCTTCTCCTGCTGCAAGAGGGTAGAATCTCACAGCATCACCAGGCATGGGAGTGCATGTTTGAAATCCCAGAACTCAGGAGGCTGAGGCGGGGGTTCCCTGGGAGTTCAAGACCAGCTGGGTTGCAGAATGAATTCAAGGCCAAACTGGATGATATAGTGAGATCCTGTCTCAAAACAAAACAAACAAAAAACCCACAGCATCACAGTGCTGGGACAGGCTCTAAAGCCCAGTCTCCTAAAGGCAGAACAGGATGGGGGAACTGAGGCCTCTAGAGTGCAGACCTTGCCTGCTGGTAGCCCCAGAGCAGGGCCTCAGCAGGTCCATCCCCAAAGCAGGCACCAGGGAGGTCAGGGCTGCCTGAGGCCTCGCCACCTCGCTTCACGGGTGCTGTGTCTCCCCAGGTGCTGACGCAGCCGGCGAGGTGCTCCCCGACTCCTTCCCCTCGGCGCCCGCAGAGCCACTGCCCCACTTCCTGCAGGAGCCGCAGGACGCCTACATTGTGAAGAACCGGCCCGTGGAGCTGCGCTGCCGGGCCTCCCCCGCCACGCAGATCTATTTCAAGTGCAATGGCGAATGGGTAGGCCAGAGCGACCACATCACACAGGAAGGCCGGGATGAGGCCACGGGTGAGTGCTCCGCGCTGGGCACCCCGGGGCGTCTGCAGGCTCAGCAAGGCTTTTGGTCACCATGGCCGCTGCCTTCCACAGCACCAAGTCCCTTGCCGAGTGCTTGCTCCCTTTGCCATTTTCTTTCTGTCCTTCTGATTGGAGCAGGGAGCAAGTTCCAGTGGGGAACTCGGATTCTCTAGCCCTCCAGTGGCTGCAAACCCCCACCTCAACGAAGAGAAGCAGGCCTCTGCCCCACACCCATGCCTCCAAAGTGGAGTTCATTACCATCCTTACTATTACTAGTCTCTGCGGAGAGTGTTGCTGTTTCCCATTCACAGCCGCGATACTGTTCCTCTAGAGAGAAATCGTTAGCTAAGTGTGATGGCGTCTGCCTCTAACTGCAGAACTTCGGGAAGCTGGGACAGGAGGATCATGAGTTTGAGCCTGGCCTGGGCAACTTAGTGATTTAATGAGACCCCATCTCAAAGTATAAAACAAAAAGGGCTGAGGATGTAGCTCAGTGCAAAGGCCCTGGTTTTGATTCCTGCACTGCAGAGGGAAGAAAAGAAAGGAGGGATAAGGGAGTATTTTACGTATCCCCCAAAAAGGGTTAATACAGTTTAGATATCACTTACTCATGTGCTTGGGACCAGTAGCCTTTCAGATCTCAGAGTTTTCTGGATTTAGGGTTTGCATAGACTTTCCTGGTTTTGTATCCCTGATCCAAAAATCCCAAATTCAGAAGGCTCCAAAACTTTCGGAGTGTTTCTGATTTTGGTTTTGGGATGTTTGACCCCAGGTCTTCGTGCAAGCAGTGCTGGGGTGTAGCCAGGCCCTGCAGTGGGCACCCTGGGCACAGAAGGAGATGCACGGCCCTGTCTCCTCCTCTTCAGCTCTCTTATTTCCCTCCCTTTTGCTTGCCTCCCCTTCTGATCCCAGGGGCCTCTGTGTCTCTCTCTTTATATTTGTCTTAAATTGGGCATTGTGGCACACATCTAATGGAAGCAGGAAGATTGCCTCAAGTTCAAGGCCAGCCTGGGCTACAAAGTGAGTCCCTGTCTCAAACAACAATACAGATCTTTTTTGGTGTGTGGGTACGAGGGTTCAAACTCGGGTCCTTGTGCTTGTGAGGCAGGTGGTGGAACCACTGAGCTAAATCCCTGGCCCAACGACACAAATCTTTGTGTCTCTGTCTGTCTCCCTCCCTCCCTCCCTCCCCACTTTTGTTCTTTTTCTCTCTCCTCCCTCTCTCTGTCTCTTCCTGTATCTCACTTTCTCTCCTTCTTTCTCCCTCTTTCAATTTCCCTTGCCACAAAACGCCCAAATTTGGGATCCATGCAGACAAAACCACACCCCAGAATGTACTTAAAGCCACTGAACTGGGTACTTAAAAATGGTAAAAATGGCGAGTTGTGTACACATTACCACAAGTAATTTTTTAAACAGACGTTTCGTGGTCATCAGTGACAGTGTGGTCCCCGCTCCCTGCCATAGGTGCCCTGGGCCTTCCAGGAGGAGGATGGAGCACTGCTGTCCCCACAGCTGCCTATGATGGACAGTGGCCTGCACACCAGGCTCTGTAGCCATAGGCTCCCCTGCTCTGGTGCTCAGCCCTGAAAGCAGAGGAGTGTTAACAGCGGTGTCAGGACAAGAGGAACAGCCACTCAGCCCCTGCCACCATGCTTGGAAGGCCCCAGAGCCCTGTTCTCATCCTCTGCCTCTGGCAGGTGGCTGTGGGCAAGACGTCCAGCTCTTGGACCAGTGGCATCCCTCTGTCCCACATGAATGCTGCTGCTCCTGCCCAGAGGGACAGGAGAGAGGGACCCTCCCGGCACACCCACCCCTCCAGACTTGGGATGGAACCCAGGGCCTTCACACTAAGCTACATCTTCAGCCCGATTTTATTTTGAGACAGGGTCTCACTGAATGGCTGAGTAGCCCAGACTGGACTCAAACTTGCACTCCTTCTGCCTCTGCCTCCCAGGGTGCTGGGGTCACGGTCCTGTGCCATGTCAGCTCAAGTCCACTTTCAAAGTCAATAGCTGCTTCCTTCTACTGGCTTCACCCACTCAGTAAGAACTCATGAATTAATCCACGGAGGGCTTAGCAACCTGTGATCCCACCACCTCCGAACACTAAAGCCAGTGCACACGTCTCTGTGGGACACCTAGTAGTTCCCCTGGAGACCCTTGGCTGCGAGGACAGAGGTCTAAGCTGGGCAAGACTCCGGTGAACCGGTCCCCACTGTGCTGGCAGCTTGCTGGGGGACTCTGGGCCTGCCACCTGCCCTCTCTAGCCTCAGTTCTCTAAACAAAAGGAAAGGCTACAAGAGAGCCAAACTGCTTGCTGGAGGCAACTTGTATCCAGCCTGGGCTGGGTGCTGTGGCACAGTACTCACCATGAGTGACCTAGCGTTTACCCTGTTTCCCTGCAGTGAGGGAACTGAGGCTCAGAGGGGCTGAGTGACTTACTGAAGGACACAGCTGGAGAGCGAGAGTGAGGCCAGGACGGAAAGCGGCCAATCCTCTAACCTGGGCCATGTCATCGTACCACAGTGTGCACGGTCCTGCTCTCAAGGGGCTGGACAACCCATGTGCAATAAGAGGATGAGACAGGATGTGCCAGAATTGTGAGAAAGGGCAGCTAGGGAGGCTCCCTGGAGGAGGAGGAGGCCTGGCCTTCCTCCAGGCTTCGGGGAGGAGCTCCACATGAGTCCACCCCTTTTCCAAGCCAGAACAGTGACCCCTGCCTGAGCTGGGGAACCCAGTGGTCCAGCAGGGAGCTATACCGTATGCAGGCCCTTTCTGCACTAGGCCCCAGGCCACATCCTGGGCAGGGCAGTCAGCACTGAGCACATCCAGATCACATGCCTATAATCCCAGGATATGGAGGCTGAGACAGGAGGATTGCCACAGGTTCAAGGCCAGCCTAAACTGTAGTGAGACCCTGCCTCAAAAAACAACAAAAGAGCTAGGCATGGTGGTGCACTCCTGTAATTCCAGCACTGGAGAGGCTGAGGCAGGAGGATCGCTCTGAGTTCAAGACCAACCTGGGCTACACAGTGAGTTCCAGGTCAGTCTCGACTACATAGTGAGACCCTGTCTCGGAAAAAAAAAGAAAAGGAAACACAAACAGTGGCCCTGGGGGCTGTCACGGGCATGGTCGCCATGCAGTGGCAGTGCTGGCCACGTCCTGAGAGCTAGAGGGAGAGGCACAGGGCAGCTCCCTTCCGGAAGTGAGGCCGAGCCAGACACTGAGGGTGACTGAGAATACAGCGGGCGCAGGGGGAGGGAGTCCAGGCAGGGTCCTGTGACCGAATCAGCTGCACCGAGGGCCGGGCTGGAAGATGCCCCGGGGCTGCAGGGGTCTGTGGGGTGGAGTGGCGGGGCCTGAAGACCTTGGCTCTGACCTGCACGGTGACGGGGGAGGGTCAGGTGTGCTGTGCGCCCCAGCCCCCTCCCCGACACTGCTCTCCTCCCCAAGGCCTGCGGGTGCGAGATGTGCAGATCCAGGTGTCCCGGCAGCAGGTGGAGGAGCTCTTCGGGCTGGAGGACTACTGGTGCCAGTGTGTGGCCTGGAGCTCTGCGGGCACCACCAAGAGTCGCCGGGCCTATGTCCGCATCGCCTGTATGTCTCCCTGACAGCCCAGCCTTCTCCGTGGATACCTGAGAGGGAATTGACACCTGCAGAGCCTCCCTCTTGCCTGGCCTCAGCCACCTCAGACCCTGGGCACACTGGTGCAGCTTAGATGAGTCCCTGTATCAGATTTCCAAAGGCTGTTTTCATCTATACAAGGAGCTTGTGGCCACCTTGCATACTGGGCCACTGTGGGCAAAAGATTTGAGTGAGGGAGGAAACGGCATTCCCCTAGCTATAGAACCAAACCTCCCCAGGTGAAGGCCAGGTGTCCTGGCACAGCTCCTTGGTGTGTACTCCCACCTAGTGGCCACATTTGGTACTGCATGTCTTCATTCTGCCCCTACCTGATTGTTCCTCCTGACCCTCTGCTTCTTTCTCCCAGACCTGCGCAAGAACTTTGACCAGGAGCCCCTGGGCAAGGAAGTGCCCCTGGACCATGAGCTCCTCTTGCAGTGCCGCCCACCGGAGGGCGTGCCAGTGGCTGAGGTGAGCAGGATGCAGGGGACACCAGGAAAGGTGGAGACCAGCAGGCCTGATACCACCACAGCCTCCCAGAGCCTCCCCAAGTCACAGACAGGGAGTGAGGCTTGGGATGAGAAGGATCAGCCACCTCTACGGGCTCAGCACAGGCCAGATCCCAGCAAGGCCCCAGGTCCTGCCCCCAACACCCCTGTCCCCGCCTAGAGCCCAAGGCCCAGCATCGGGTCACCCAAGGGTCTCGTGGACATCTGAGTGCCCACCACTCTGTAGGCTGGTGACTCCTTCCCTTGGCCTTTGGATCCCTCAGCAGTGCCCTCTGCCTGTCCCCTCTCACCGTCCTTCCTCGAGTAGCCAGCAAATGCCCCCTCCCACTCATACCCCTGCTCCGTGGTCCAGGAATTAGAGCTGGGGACAGGGGCCGTGTCAGTTTGTCCTTGGGGTCCAGGGCTGGGAGGACTGGCTTCCCACAGGGGATCAGCCTTGTCTAACCCCCAAACCTCGCCCCAGTGGCTTAGCCTTCCCTCGGCTCGGGCCTCCTCTGGAAATAGTGTGACGTGTAGGATGGGCCGGGGCACAGCTGTCTTCACGGCAACCTGGCAGCACGGATGGTGTCATTCCTGAGCAGCTGGGAACCGACGCTGGGTGCGGCGGGGTGCCCGCCCAGGCAGAGCAGCTAGTGACTGGGGAGCTGGGACTTGACCCCAGGAGCCGTTCCCTACTCCGCAGCCTGGGTTTGATAGTGAGGACAGGGACTGCCAACTACTGCATGCTCAGTGCTTCCCTGAGCCAGCCGTGTCCTCCCTGAAGCCCTGGGGGGCAGATGCTGTCTGGTCCCCATCACCCAGCTGGCACGTGGGGGCCCTGTGTGGCGAGCACCCCCCACTCAGCCACAGTGCGGCCCTGTGGAGGTCCTGCCTGGGGTGTCGTCGCCGTGATGTGGCAAGCCACCGTGCTGTCCGCACTCAGCTGTCCTCTCCTCTGCAGTGTGCTCATCCCCGGCCACAGGGGCAGAGGGCCTGGGTCCTCAGCACCCCTACCCACTCCCACAGGTGGAGTGGCTCAAGAATGAGGATGTCATCGACCCCACCCAGGACACCAACTTCCTGCTCACCATCGATCACAACCTCATCATCCGCCAGGCCCGCCTGTCAGACACGGCCAACTACACCTGTGTGGCCAAGAACATCGTGGCCAAGCGTCGGAGCACCACGGCCACTGTCATCGTCTACGGTGAGGTGCTGGAGATGGAGTGCGGGGAAGGGCTGGGGCTGCACATCTCCTCCACCCCACCCTGCGGGTCAGCAGGACCCCAACAGGTGAGAAGTGAAGGGACTGAGGTCACGCAGAAAAAAGTGGCCAAGGGAGTCACTCCTGGGTCCCCAGCTAGGAGCACTACCCACTTCTTGGCGTCTCTAAAGGAGAAGAACCAACCCTCCTGAGGTCAGATCCCCATCATATAGGGGAGCAGCGGCTGCTGTCCAGTCCTGAGCACCGTCCTCTGCTGTTCCCCTGGTCCAGGGGTGAGAAGGGCAGAGCCACAGATGCAGGGACTATGGGACGTTATAAAAAAGGGCCCCAGCTTGGGCTGCGGATTTAGCTCAGGGGTTCGGTCACCTGCCTCGCAAGGGCAAGGTCCTGAGCTCCATCCCTAGTACCAAAAAAAACGGCCCCGGCCTGAGTCTGGATAAGTACTGGGTCTCTGGAACCTTGTCACTATGGGTGGGTCCGGGACAAGACAGTGACCTTCGTGTCCTTTCTGGGCTGATGGTGACAGCTCACGGCTGCACGCTGGAGTCCAATGCCTACAGCCAGGAGGGGCTTCAGCCAGGTCTCAGCAGAGGGGTGTGGGCTGGGGGGCTGGGGGTCCCTGGGCCAGGCCAACCCGTCGATGGCTGCTGTCCCTACAGTGAATGGCGGCTGGTCCAGCTGGACAGATTGGTCACCCTGCTCCAACCGCTGTGGGCGTGGCTGGCAGAAGCGCACACGGACCTGCACCAACCCCACCCCACTCAATGGAGGCGCCTTCTGCGAGGGCCAGGCCTTCCAGAAGACTGCGTGCACCACCGTGTGTCCAGGTGTGGAGCCCACCAGGCGGCAGCCTGCACACCCAGCCCCTCCGCCACCATCCCGTGCTCTGACGGTGCTGAGACAGCACAGCGCCCTCCCAGCATGGGCCAGGCAGGAGCTCCCCCGCGGCCCACAGCTGGCAGCCCAAGCTGCCTAGGCGCTTTTGCCTCTGAGCCTTTGCTGTGCCTGCCCTGGCTGCTGGGGAAATGAAGGCAGAGGCTCTGAGCTGTGGTCCTGGGTGGGCTCCTCCCCCTGCTCGACCAACATGGGTTTTTCTGGCCCAGGGTCTAGTGTCCTGTACGTAACTCTTGGCCACGGGTCCTTATCCTCCTAACAGCTCTCTCCCCTCCCGTCTTCCTCTTCCTCTGAGTCTCCATCTCCACGCACATCTGACTGTGCTGCCTCCTTTTGGACGTGTTATGTGATGATGTGGTGCTCTTCACCCTGGGCTTGTATCTTTGTACTTACAACTATGCACTGGGCCTTGTCTGTGCCGGGGACCCGTGCGTCTCTTTGTCCACTGGGCACATCTGACTGCTCACTGGCACAGGGCTGTGTGTGCGCAGCATGGTTTCCCAGGGTGAACGCGTGTGTCTCAGCTTCCTCTCCCCACCCAGGGTGTGTGCGTGTGCATTGTAGGTGCGCGCATGTCAGCGCGTTGTTCTGTAACTGCCCACAGTGGACGGGGAGTGGACGGAGTGGAGCAAGTGGTCAGCCTGCAGCACCGAGTGTGTCCAGTGGCGCAGCCGCGAGTGCATGGCACCCCCGCCCCAGAATGGAGGCCAAGACTGCACCGGGCCGCTGCTCGACTCCAGGAACTGTACTGACGGGCTGTGCGTGCAGAGTGAGTCCCCAGGAGCACAGGGCCCTGGGTAGGGGGCATCTGGAGCCAGGTGAGGGCCCCACCCCCACTCAGCCCTAGACCTCAGAGCCCGGCCTGCTGCGGGGCCGCCCTCGGGGCTCTGCCACCCCACATGCGTCATCTCATCTCGTGTCTCCTCCTCTGCCATCCTTTCTCTGTCACCTGTGTCATTGTCTTTCCCTTTATTTCCCCGACAGATAAGAGAACTCTAAGCGACCCCAAAAGTCACCGTAAGTCCCCTTTCATGACTGTCTCCCCTCTGGGTCCCCTGGTTCTCCTTGGCTTGCTTTTCCTGGTTGTGGGGTACAGGGCAGGAGAATTGACGGTGTCCCTTCTGCCGACCCACGCACTCGACACTCCATGGGTCTCTGTCCTCCATCACGAACAGACAGGCCTTTGGCTGACAGAGAGGGCCTAGGACTCCCTCATGACCGTCCTGTTACAGTTTGGGAAATTGAGTCAGGAAAAACTCACCCAAGGACCCAACCAGGAAGTAACAGAGGCAGGATTTGGACCCAAATATTTTTGTGGCCAAGGCTGGTGCTTTTAGCCCTATGCCCTCGACCTTCCTCTGGGACAGGGACGGGGCAGCACCATATCCTCCCACCCCCACATCATATTCTAGCAGCTGGGCCCTGCCTCCTGAGCCATCTGCAGGCCTCTACCCTGCGTCAGCTCCCAAGAGGGGTCTTGTCCTCAGCCCCATGGGGCTGCTGCGTTGCAGTAATATCAGAGCAATAAAGCCTTTTTGGCGGATTGGCCCATGGTAATTAAACCACAATTTCCAAATAATTCTGAAATCATAAAATCAGCAGTAAGGCCCTCAGCCCAGCTCACTGGGGGACCAGGCTGGCGGCTGATTAGAGAGCATAAATCACCAGGCAAGCGGCCCCCAGTGTGAGTAAGGACATTAAGATGCAGAGCAAAGCTGAGAGAGCCAACTCCCTGCTGGGCCAGGAGCCTTCAAAGAGGTGAGAGCCCAGTCCTGAGGGGGTTCCTCTGAGGGGAGCCCAAAAATGAGGGAAACAGGCAGGTGCAGGAAATACACAGACCTTCAGAGGAGAGAGCCATGCCTATGTGCTGGAGGGCTCAGACGGACCCAAAGGCTTGGAGGACACCAGGCAGGGAAAGCAAGCCTACCTCTTCGAGAGCCTGTCCGGCTGAAAAGTATGCTTGGGTGCTTCCTGGAGCAGCCATCTTGGCAGCCGCCATCTTGGCTCTGCCTGAGCCTCCCAGTACAGTAGCCCTCAGCCACGTGTGGCTACTTAAATTCATATTTAATGTAATTTAAACTAAATCAATTAAAACTTTAGCTCTTCAACTGCACCAGCCACTTGTGTTTAAAGGCTACATATGGGACTACACAGACATAGAATAGTTTGGCCATCATAGAAAGTTCTGTTGACCTTGCCTCTTTGATCTTGCTACCTTCCTGCTTGGCGATCGCCTGCTTGACCAGCTGCAGCCCACTGTGGGGAGGGAAACATAGCCTTGGGGTTGCTAACCCCACCCTCGCTGCCTGCCCACCTATTGCCTGCATCTCATCCCACCCCTCCCTGCATCTCCACCTCTTTCTCTTAAAGCACAGGATTGGGAAAAACTCAGAATGGTTACTCATAAAGATTCTGGGGAGCCAGGACCTATGGTCCTATGAAAATGGCTGCGGGCTGGGTATGAGATCCTATAGTTTAAATCTCAGCCGCAGTAGCACAAATTGCATGGCCACAGGCCTCTGAACAGGGAGCCGTGAGTTCATTCATGGTGTGGCCATGTTCTTTTGCATCATTGCCACCCTGGGAGGGTGGGTGGGCAGCAGAGCAGGGGTTTGAGACCATTGTGCTAATGAGGAGACTGGCTCAGAGAGGTCCTGGGCTGGCCCGAGGTCACCAGCGTGTTGTGCCAGGAGTCAGATCCTTGTCCAGTGCCAGCCTGTCCCGAGCCCTGCCCCTCCCCGGGATCCCAGCCTTCGCTGGCAGCCTTGGCCCTGTGCCTCATGTGTCTTCCTGTCCCTGCAGTCCTGGAGGCTTCGGGTGACGTGGCGCTGTACGCAGGCCTCGTGGTGGCCGTCTTCGTGGTAGTGGCGGTCCTCATGGCGGTGGGGGTGGTGGTGTATCGCCGCAACTGCCGCGACTTTGACACTGACATCACCGACTCATCCGCCGCCCTCACTGGGGGTTTCCACCCAGTCAACTTCAAGACCACGAGGCCCAGTAAGGACCCGAGGATGCCCTGGGGTGGTGGATTGGTCGGGGGCCCTGCGAGGGTACAGCTGGAGCTCCTGACTCTCCAGGGTTTCACCAGAGTTTGCCCCCAGCTTGCAATGGAAACTTCACAGCTGGACGTTTGAGTGGGACAGGGGGGCCCCACAGAAGCAAAGGGGGACTGGCCAGGGCGTGACCATCACTCCACCTCTGCAGGCAACCCACAGCTGCTGCACCCAGCCATGCCTCCTGACCTGACGGCCAGCGCTGGCGTGTACCGAGGGCCTGTGTACGCCCTGCAGGACTCAGCTGACAAGATCCCTATGACCAACTCTCCCCTGCTGGATCCCCTGCCCGGCCTCAAGATCAAGGTCTACAACTCCGGCACCACTGACCCCAGGCCTGGCTTGCCCGATGGGACCGACCTGCTGGGCGTCCTGCCACCTGGGCCTTACCCTGGCGATCTCTCCCGGGACAGCCACTTCCTGCACCTGCGCAGCGCCAGCCTTGGGTCCCAGCAGCTCCTGGGCCTGCCCCGAGAGCCTGGCAGCAGTGTCAGTGGCACCTTCGGCTGCCTGGGTGGGAGGCTGAGCATCCCTGGCACAGGTGAGCCACTCGCCTGTCACCCTGGCTCAGCGCATCCTCTCTTGGCAGCCTCAGCACCCACCCAGCATAAGGCAGGGCCTCCCATCCCTTTGCTCAGATTCAGAGATGAAGGTTGGAGGGCCAGAAGGGATATAAGATGGAGAGGCCTGCCTGTGCCTTCTGGAGCAGGGGACTATGGGCCAGCCACTCTGCAAGCCTCGGGATCTCTGTCTGTCTGTTGGGAGGGAGTGGCCCCACATGGTCCTGCAGTCTTACAGAGCACTGTTCTAGGTTCTAGGGGCAGGGAGGGCAAGGCCACCCATCTTGGCTTGTGAGCCCAGTGGTTGGCAGTGTCCTGGAGTCTGGCCCTGAGCTGGGCATAGTGCTGGCCCTGGGACACTGTCTCTCCCTGCTCCTGGCTGGAGCCCACCCAGAGCTCAGATGTCATCTGTCCCTGCCCCCAGCCGTGCCAGCCTCCCATCCCCATTCCCCTAAGCACAGACTTCCCTCTCCCCCCAGGGGTCAGCCTGCTGGTGCCCAATGGAGCTATTCCCCAGGGCAAGTTCTATGAGATGTACCTGCTTATCAACAAGGCCGAAAACAGCCTGTGAGTAGAGACCCCTGCCCTGGCCAGCTGCTCTCCACTACCCGCTCCCTGCTGGTCCCTGGGTTAGGGCTCCCCTGGGGAAGGCCTTGGTCTTATCATGTCCACATTTAAAATGTGCAAAACCAACACCCTAAGCCACACAACTGAACAGCAGCTGACAAACTGGCTACAAGTGAAGTGCTAATAACCCTGCTGTGTGAAAAGCTTCTGTAAACTAAGAAAAATTGAGGTCCTCAGTACAAACATAGACACAAGATGTGAACAAGGGATTCACACACTGTTTCTCTTACACAGACAGACAGACACACAGACACACAGACACAGGGACCAGAAGTTTCTGAGGAGACAACCCACCTAATTTGTAGTCAAAGAAAACAGCCACAAGATCTTGGGAGGTTTTTCTGTTGTTTCATTTGATGAAGGAGTTGTGAGGATTATTTCTTTAAATGATGATTCCCTCTTGCTGCCAAAAACCTGGGGAACTCAGCCCTCTCTGGCGTGCTGGGAGTGTAGATTGGCACCAGCTCTCCTGAGGGCAGTTTAGCGGTGTCTGGCAAGACTGATCCAAGAGTGCAGGACCTTGGAACAGCACCCAAAGATGTGGCCATGAGAAAGCAATGGCATCAAAGCAAAACTCTGGGAACAACTTCGAGGTTTATTCATCTTCTTCTACCCGCTTCATGCATCCCCAGGAGCTCTGCCCTCACACAGGCCAAGGCAGAGGTGGGGCTGGCTGGAATCTGCCCTTGCTGAGTTCTTTGGGTTACCCCTCACTGCCTCCCTCCCACCCTGTGCTCTGCCCCAGCCCACTTTCCGAAGGGACCCAGACAGCACTGAGCCCCTCAGTGACCTGCGGGCCCACGGGCCTCCTGCTGTGCCGCCCCGTCATCCTCACCGTGCCCCACTGCGCTGAAGTCAGTGCCGGTGACTGGATCTTCCAGCTCAAGACCCAGGCTCACCAGGGCCATTGGGAGGTGAGGAGCAGGGCCAGGGAGGTGAGAGCCAGCCCCTTGTCCTCCTTCCGCAGCCAGGGAGGCTGACTGTGTCTCCCATCCTGCAGGAGGTGGTGACGCTGGACGAGGAGACCCTGAACACCCCCTGCTACTGCCAGCTGGAGGCCAGGTCCTGCCATGTTCTGCTGGACCAGCTGGGCACCTACGTGTTTGCGGGCGAGTCCTACTCCCGCGCAGCCATCAAGCGGCTCCAGCTGGCCATCTTTGCACCCGCGCTCTGCACCTCGCTGGAGTACAGCCTCAAGGTCTATTGCCTGGAGGACACGCCTGTGGCCTTGAAGGTGGGTGCCCACACCCGGCACACTGCAGTTGCACTACCCGCAGCCGGGCAGTGCAGGATCCCTTCGGGCTTCCCTCACTGCCCAGGTGCATGGACCTTACAGGCTCTCTCCATCCCTCCACGAGCAAATGGCATGGGACCCTCAGAGTAGAGATGAGGCTAGGGTTCCTGCCACACCAGGCTCCAGGCCTCAGGTTGGAGACAGGTCTGCAGAGGGCTTAGGAAGCACCAGAGGAGGGGTCTGAGAAGGCTGACCGTAGACCTGAGCCCCAGCGGACAAGCAGGAACTCGGGAAGAGAATTAGAGAGGGAAGGGCATTAGAGCAGCCGCTGCCAAGGCGGGTGTGCTGCTAGGTGAGTGTCAAGTCCCAGGGGACATGGGACAGCATATGAGGCCAGCAGAGGCAGCCTGGGAGCCTTGGAACCTGTCCAGCAGCAAGAGGTAGACCCGGAAGATGCCAGTAGACAGGTGCTTTTTAGAGAGCCTCTGTGGCTACGCTGTGGGGTATGGACAAGAAACAGCTGGCTGGGAGGCTGGACTGGGGCCCGGGCAGCGGGCAGTGACTGCACCGGGAGAGGGGACCAGACTGTGATTCGTGGGTGTAATGACAGGTTGAGGCTGTGGGATAGGTAGGGGAATGTTCAGGGCTGGCAGCCAGGCTATGCTAGATGCAGAAGGGGGCGTGGGCGGTGGTGCCCCTAAGTGAGGGAGAGGCCGTGGCAGGCAAGGAGTCATTGGGGCAGAAAAGGAGGGAAGGGGGAAACTGGTGTTCACCGACGTGCGACCACCAGCCACAACACAAGTACCACCCACCAGCTGCAACGCAACCCTCCACCCTCCAAGAAGCCTTGCAGTCCTCTCCCAGGCTCCCGCCCCTCCCACCCTGGGCTCGGTCCCTCCCGGATCCTTACCTCCCAGGCCCACGCAATTCTCCCAGACTCCACGGTGTGTGCTGATGCAACATGGGTGGAAGGGTCCTGGAGGAGAAGGAGCGCCTCCTGCTGGGGTCGCTTGGCCTGATTTCAAGGAGGCCCGCAGTGGGGTGGAGGCTGCTGGGAAATACTCTTGTGGCCTGGATCTTCTCGCACTGGGGGTCCAGTGTCAGCTGCTGTCCACTTTTGGTCAGAGAATGGCACGGAGCTAAAGAGGGAAGTGGCCACATTTGGGTATCCTTTGTTTTTTCTGCCTCACTTCCATCCCTCCCTCTTTCTGTTCATCTATCTGTACACTTAGCTGTCTATCATCTCCCGATTCATTTACCGTTCCTTTCATATGTGCTTCTGTTCATATCTGTTTCTATATCCGTGTTTCTGTGTTTCTTTCTATCCAGCATCCGTTCATCTAGCCATTCACACACCCCATCCGTCCTTCTGCCCAAACGGTGATCCCTAAGTCCACCCACGTATCCTCCTGTCTGCATTCCTGCATCCACTTTCCTGTTCACCCACTCATCTGTCCACACATCCGCTCGTCTAAAGCACCTGCTGAAGGGGTCAGGTGGACCCTGTGCTCCGTGTTCAGACAGCCCCCGCCCCCGCCCCGACTTGCAGCAGAAAAGGGCGCCCTGCGAAGTGTGACAGACTCCCCTTCCCACCACCGGTCCACAGGAGGTGCTGGAGCTGGAGCGGACTCTGGGCGGCTACCTGGTGGAGGAGCCCAAGCCCCTGCTGTTCAAGGACAGCTACCACAACCTGCGCCTGTCCCTGCATGACATCCCCCACGCTCACTGGCGGAGCAAGCTGCTGGCCAAGTACCAGGTGAGGGCTGAGCTGGAAGCGGAGGGGCCGCTGCCCCCACCAAGCCAGGTCCCTCTCTGCTGCCTCTGTTGCCATCGCTGTCTCCCTCTGCTGGCCATCCTCAGACACATTCCCTAGCTCCGTTCCATCCACAGCCACACTCACTTCTGCCCCTGCCACACTCCATGTCTCCTGAGCCCATGGCCCTCGAAAGGCCTCTCCATCTGGGTGTGCATGCCTGGCCGACTGGCTACACTCATCTCTGCTGGCCACATCCCTCTGCTCTGCCCTGCGGTGCGTGACACCGAGTCCCTGAGGCAACCCCAGCACAGACACACACAGCCTACACATGCTCCCCTCCCCCGCCCTCCTCAGTGCCCTCCCGGAACCAGGGCCTGACCCACCCCCAAGGCCCCTGCTCACCCCAGAGCCAGCCTCGCCTGCAGCCCTGACCACCCTCCCGCAGGAAATCCCTTTCTGTCACATTTGGAGCGGCAGCCAGAAGGCCCTGCACTGCACCTTCTCCCTGGAGCGGCACAGCCTGGCCTCCACCGAGCTCACCTGCAAGATCTGCGTGCGGCAGGTGGAGGGGGAAGGCCAGATATTCCAGCTGCACACCACACTGGCTGAGGTGAGGCCCGTGACACCGTGGGGCTGGGGCTGCAGCATGTAGACCCTGTGTCCCCCTTCATCTGGGCAGAAATTCTGTTCCCTTAACGACATTGTTCCAGCCGGGGGCGGGGGGACTTGGTCAATTTGGGCCAGCAGCTGTCATTTCCTGAGTGGTGTGTAAGGCCCTGTAAATCCAGACAGAGCTCTAAAAACCTAGATCACCCAAGGTGACCATGCCAGACTCTCTCTTGGTGCAGTATAAAAAGCACTGAAGCCAGGCATGGTGCACATATTTGTAATCCCAGAATTCATGAGGCTGAGGCAGGAAGATCGCTGTGAGTTCAGGCCCAGCCTGCACTGCTTAGACCCTGTCTCAAAAACAAAAAAGAAGGACTGAGCCTAGGTCTGGACCCTGCTCTGCTACTCCCTTGCCATGTGATCCTAGGCAAGTCACTTCCTCTTTCTAGACTGCATTTTCTCTGTGAATAACAGTGGGCCAGCATGGACTTTGTAGACCTTGGCCAAGGCTCCTGGGGCCTCCTGACCGTGGGGCTGCACAGTTCAGCCCTTACCGTCAGAGAGGAAGCCTTTGCCGGGCATGGTGGCGCTTGCCGGGCATGATGGTGCACGCCTGTAATCCCAGAACTCAGGAGGCTGAGGCAGGAGGATCACTGCTAGTTCTAGACCAGCCTGGGCTACACAGTGAGTTCCAGGTCAATCTCAACTACATAGTAAGACCCTGTCTCTAAAAACCAAAAAAAAAAAAAGAGAGAGAGAGGAAGCCCTTGCTTGGGCAGCTAGCGATGCCCAGTGGAGGTGGGCACGATGACTCAAGCCCCAGTGTGCCTGCAGTCCCAGCAGGGAGGATGGAGGGACTGACACTGGTCACATGGCCCTCTCGCTCTTCTCCCGCCCTTCCAGACACCTGCCAGCTCCTTGGATGCCCTCTGCTCTGCCCCTGGCAGTGCCATCACCACACAGCTGGGCCCCTATGCCTTCAAGATCCCAGTGTCCATCCGCCAGAAGATATGCAACAGCCTCGATGCCCCCAACTCGCGGGGCAATGACTGGCGGCTCTTGGCACAGAAGCTGTCCATGGACCGGTGAGTGTCCCGACCGTCAGCCTCGCCACCTCCCTTGAGAAGCCAGGCTGTGTCTTCCACGCTTTCTCCCGTGGCATAGGGAAGTGCCCACTGCCCAACTCCTGGGACAGGCTGCAAATCAGCTGCAGCCCTGACACTGGCGAGGTGGCCACCATCAGCCCCACAGTGGCCAGACTAAGCAGGTGCATCCGAGACACTCGCTGAGTGGGTGAACCTTAGTGTAGCAGCTTTTGCAGAACTGCAGATGCTCAACACTTAGGATGGCAGTGATGACAGCGTACTTATTGAAAAAATGTGTCATCAACCTGCCTTGAGCAGATGCTATGAGTGAGACGTCTTCCTAGAAAAGAGTGGGACTTGCACAGCTGGCTGGGCTAATGTTCCTGCTATCAGGGGAGTTCGTGGGGCAGGATCAGAAGGGAACAGAAGTGGATGGAAGAGCAGAGCATGGTAGCTGGGCTTGGACAGTCCCTCCTGGTGCCAGTGTCTGCTCTGCTCAGGTTGGATCTGGTCCTGCGGTGTTGGGAGGTAAGTCACTCCAATCCCGTGTTAGAGACGGCCGAGGCTCAGCGAGGGCCACCCGCCTGCAAGCAGAGTTGCTAGGATTCAGACCCAGGACTGCAGGACCCCCAAGCCCACAGCCTTTCCACCCACAGGCTGCTGGGAGGTGCTCAGCACACTCTAATGCCCCCTGCTTCCCTCGGCCAGCTACCTGAATTACTTTGCCACCAAAGCGAGCCCCACGGGTGTGATCCTGGACCTCTGGGAAGCTCTGCAACAGGACGATGGAGACCTCAACAGCCTGGCGAGTGCCTTGGAGGAGATGGGCAAGAGTGAGATGCTGGTGGCCATGGCCACTGATGGGGACTGCTGAGTGCCCAGAGCTGCGGACTGGCAGGGACAGGCAGGAGGCGGGGCAGGGAGACCCAGCACTTACAGCTGAAGTTGCTTCTCCTCCTCCTGCTCCCCACCAGAGCCCTAGACCAAGACCAGACCACAGCCAGCCTTAGAGAATCCATGTGCTCGGTTGCCGGGAGACCCAGAGCCCCTCACCTCGCGCTGCGTCTCCTCGTTCGCACCCTGTGTGACAGCAGCAGTTAGGGACAGAAGGTTGCCCTCCCTCCAGCCCTTCTCCCCCTCGCCCTGTGACTTCTGGGTCCCCTAGTTCAAGCTCTGTTCTCACCTTCTCCCCTAGCTGCTGGTTCCTCCCCGCCAGATCCCCAAAAGCTTTCACTCCCTTTCCCTCGCAAAGAGTCGAGTACAGTTCCACAGAACTGCTTTCTCCTGTCCACAGTGAAAAGGAAAAGGAAGGAAAGAAAAAGCTTCACACATTAATGAGGCTCAGAGAACAACACCAAAACCACAAGGGAAAAGAAAAACCCAGTTTCTTAGGAAACGCAAATGATTTATTATCCAGATATTTGGATAAGTCCTTTTTAAGAAAAAAAAAAAAAAAAAGGAAGGAAGAAAGAAAATGAAAAAAAAAAAAGAAAACGAAAACTTTTTTCCTGAGTGGGTGAGAGTTGGCGTGCTCAGGTTCTGGCCTTGAGTGTGTGTGGGTGTGGGTGTGGGTGTGGGTATGGGTGGGTGTTGGGGGGAGAGACTGAACAAGGCATTCTTTGCTGCTAATGAATCCGGTTTTGGACTGAATTCTGACAAGACCTCAGTTTCCCCAACTGTGCAGGAGCAGATGAGACAAGGTCTGCTGAATTCATAAAGCCAAGGGCCTTGAGGACGGGAGGGGGCCCTTCCCTCCCAAGCCACAGGCAGACACCCAGGATCCTCTGTACTCCTGGGGGGTGCAGTGCAGATGGAAAGGGCAGGGGTGGGAAGTGTAGGCACCCAGGCCAACTGGAGACAGCACCCAGGAGGGCAGTGGAGGGTGGAACTCATTTTCCCAACTCTGATCTGCACCTTCCTCTCTCTGTGCTTGGAAATTGGGAAGTGGCCTTTCTGAATGGGCAGGGTGGCTGAGGTAGAGGAGCTCACACTGCCCACCCCAGCATGTTCCGGGGACACGAGTGGGGAGGATCAAGTCCCCATCCTCTGAGCCAGCTGGCACTGACCGGACCAGGATCTCACAGTGGGCACGAGGCCTCATTAAAGGCCACTTCTTGGCACCCGAGGCCGGGCAGGTGCCAGATGCATCAAACTCTGAGCCCTAGCCCCAGGGCTTACCACAGCAGCCTCTGCTGGGACCACCTGGGCACACCCTGGCCTTTGAAAGTCTGCTGTCCTGTTCCAGTCAGTGTCCCCTGCCTGGATCTCACTGTGAGCGCTGCAGAGGGAGGCAGGAGTGGAGGTCCAGCTGCTATGAAGGCACCGTGTGACCTCAGGCATACCACTGCCTTCTCTGGGCACCTGCGTCCTTTTTATGCCCAAGAGGCCCCGCAGATGCTGTCTGAGTCCCTTTGGAATCTGACACACCATTTTCTGGCCTTCTCAAGGGAACCCTAGAGGGCAGAAGTTGAGGTGGCCACGTCCCTCCTGCCATCTCAGGAGGAGCTCCTGGTGGTTGAGGTCCAGCCAGCCCTTTCCAAGAGCCCAGAGCCAGGACGACCAGCCAGAACCTCCTGTTAGGGTCACACTGTCAAGCAGTTGCCAACTCTACCAAACTGCTGAGGTGTTGCCACAGGGCAGCAGCAGCTCAGTGCCACCAGGAACCTTGCCTGCAGGGTCTGTCTCTCACCTCTGGCATGCATGCGTGCGTGCGTGCGTGTGTGCACGTGCTTTTATCCTCGAGCACACCAGGGTGCCCCCCCAGGGACATGCGCACCTGCCCTGCCTTGTGTGGGACGTGGCCTCCTGCGCCCCTGGAGGCCCCGTGCCTGCTTCGCCTGCCCTGCGCCCACAGGGTCCGTGTATCTCCTACGTGCCTCTCTGCCTCCTCGCAGGCCCAGCCTTCTTCCTGGGACCCTCCTCATCTCCTGGACGGTCCAGGGCCCCCTGTCCCCAGGCAGCTGAGCCGAGTCCCTTCACAGGTCCTCTGAGAGGAGGTGACCGGGAGCCTGGGTGCAGGGGGCAGACAGCTCTGGGGACTAAGGGCTGGACCCTACATGGGCTACGACATGGTTTTATGTCCCAGGGCTGCAGCACTCCAGGGATGGCCCCAATCCCACCTCTGTCCATTCTGTAAACTACAACCTGTAAATAACGTTTAGCATTCCTATTGTAACAAAATTAATTTTTATGAAATAAATTATATTTCCTAGTCTAATAAAAAAAAAATCCCAGGTTGTAGTCTGCCGTCTTCTTGGCTGTCGGTTGCTGGAGACTGAGAGTGACTGTCCTGTTCTGTGAACTCCGTGGGGCCAGGGACAGGGAGGCCACTGTCAGTTCAGGGCTGTGGCACCCCTTGCAGGTGATCCAGCTCGGCACCCTCCCTAAGCCACAGTGAATTAGGGCCCCTGCCAGGTCTGGATCTGATCCCACTCTAGTCTGTTCCTCGTATGTGAGACTGGTGGACTCTGTCCCAGAGGCAGGTGTTCCAGTCTGCCGTGGCTAGGCAAGGGCCGGAGGAGCGACACACGCTCCAGATCCCCGTCTGCCTTCCAGTTCAGAAGAGTCCGTCCCACCGGGGCTGAGGCGGTCAATTCAGTACCCTCCCCTGGGGCAGAAAAGGAATGAGGGACACCCAAATTGAGACTGTGTGACTTTGAGGCCGGGGCTGCCATGCGTGGTCGGGCAGGTCGCACGCTGGATAACAGTACCCCATCCACCCGCCTCATCTGGAGCGTGGCGCCATTCCCGCCTACAGCACTAGGTCATAATATGTGTGTTTGAGTTGCCAGCAGTGGACAGTAAATGATCCTGTTCTGATAAAATCAGTCTGTTGGTGTTCATTTCCCCCAGGTGGTGAGGGAGATCCTTTTTCTAATTTGCAGTGGCCTCTTCTGCCCTGTGGACCTCAGACTCCCTGGGGGAATGAGTCTGGACCCAAATTTCCCAGCATGCGCTGCCTGTTCTAAATAGTCCCTGTGTTCTCCCGTGTGTGGAGTACAAGCGCCCTGTGGCCCATCCCGGGAGTCACAGTGCCCATCATCTGTCAGAGGCTCTGAGAAGGTATGAGCAGACTGGTCTCTAAACACGGTGTCCCTAGTGTGTCTGGTCATGGGCTTCCCAACCTGTTCAGGTTCGAAGTGTGGGGCACCTACAGCCCTGCAGCTCTGACTTCCTGGGAGCCGTGGCCCGGGGTCTGAGCCAGGACTCAACCAGGATGCCACGGTTGGCATCTCCCACCACGAGGGTAGGGTCAGAGATGGGAATTGCGGAGACACGGACAGCCCTGTCTGTCCCGCGGGAGTGTATGGCCGGGCGTGGGGTGAGGCAGGCACGGCACAGCCAGCACGCAAGGCCACTGCTCAGACTGCCCACCCACTGGGCACCCGGGGCCTCCGAGCAGCTGCTCAGTGAGGCCTCCCCAGCAGAGGAGATCAGGGTAAAGATTTATAAAGGAAGAGAGGACAGCTCCGTGCACGTGGGGGCAGCAGGTGGGCGCCATGGCCCAGGGAAGAGCAGTCAGTTGGGCCTGGGGCAAGTATCTCACGCACAGGCAGGCAGACTGAGGTTCCCCAGGACACCTTCATCCTTACCTGCCACCAACCTAGGCCAGCCCTCTCCTGCCACCTGTCCCGTGGAAGCTCACCTGGAAATAGGTGGGCTCCAAGGAGTTGTGGTCTGGAAAGTAAGGGACCTGGGCTCCAGTCCTGACACTGTGGGAGTCACTGTCTCTATCAGAGCCCAGTTTCCCCATCTAGTGAGACTTCCTGCGTAGCACGGCTTGGTAATGGGGGACACCTCCGGAGTCCCTCAGGCTCCTGCCTGACCAGTGTTAACGCAGTCCCGGGCCTCCCAGCATCTCCAGGCCCCCGGTGCAGCTCCTTGGGGCAGGCACTGCTTTCCACACCGCTCTGCTCCTCCTACCCGGCACTGGCCCCCTTCCTCCTCTTCCTCTTTACCCTGCAGCAGGGAAGCTGCTCTCGGGACCGCACCTCTCCCACGGGCATCACACAAGAAGCTGTCCTTCCTGAGTGAACGTCCCAGCGGGATGCTGTTTCTACCCGAACCCTGCCCTGCGTGGCAGCACCAGGGACCGAAAAAACCTCAGGTCAGGAGCCCCCAGACGGGGAAGCGAGTGGGCAAGGGTCCACATTTCCCAGGCTTCCTTGCTGTTCAACAGTTTTTCTCCCCAGTACTGGGTCGAACCTGGGGACTTGGCACTGAGCTACATGCCCGGCCCTTTTTTATTTTGAGATAGGTCCTTGCTAAATCACTAGGTTGCTGCACTTGAATTCCTGATCCTCCTGATTCAGCCTCGCAGAGTGCTGGGATTACAGGCATGGGGGTCACACAGCACCCGCAGGACCCACAGTCTGGAGCGGGGAAGACAAATGGGCCACAGCTGCAGGAGCTTTGGGCGGGCTCGGGTCCACTAGAGATGGTATCTGTCCAGCTGCACCCCGTGTAGGAGACACTTGTAAGTTCACACGTTCTTTTATGAAGCTTCTTCCTGAGAGAAGATGCTGATGTCCACTATCAGACAACAGCCAGGGGTGTGAGCGCAAGCTGGTGTCCTTTCCATGACCCTCCCCAGGGACCTAGGCTCAGCGTGGGGAGGGGACACCGTGAGCCCCAGCTATTCCAGCAGCCATGTGAGGCTGGCCAGTCACGCGGCTGTGAGAGCTTGTATCTGCACCCCAGTCCCTCTGCCCAGCACGTCTCCCCAAGAGGAGGGCCTGCAGGTCCTGGAAACCCAGGGGACTCCTGGGCCTAACCCACGGATGGGCACAGCACCCAGGGGTGAGAGGGGTGAATCTGATTGACTGCATTTGGGCCCAGCAGCTCACAGAGGAGTAAAAAGCGAGGTGCAGCCCAGTGCAGGGGCACAGGCCTGTGACCCCAGCACTTAGAGGCTTTGGCAGAATTGCTGTGAGTTCAAGGCCAGCTGCACTACATAGCAAGACTGTGTCTCAGAAAGAAAAAAATACAATAAATAAGTGAGGTCCACCGATTGGCTCACCAGGACTGAGGGCAGTACTGTTGGGGCTCATGGAGCAGGAAGGGGGAGAAGAGTCCTTCCAGCCGCCTTCCTTGAAAGGCAGAGGCGGGGGAGGGTCGGGGGAAGGGAACAGAGCAGTCACAGGTACAGAGTTCAGGAGGGAGGAAGTACAGGATGGGGCAGGAGACCCGGGAGGGCAAAGGATCAAGCCCCCCAACTGACCCTGGGGCATGGCTCCCGACCTGCCACGCACTCTAGGCCACCTATCCGTGTCCCCAACAGTGAGGTTGACCCACAGACACCGGGCCTTGGAGCTGTCTTCATAGACCAAGGCCACAGTGTCCCCTGACCCAGCAGCCGGTCAGTCACGTGAGCCGCAGAAGCCGTGTGACAATACTTCTCTAAGAATATGCCCACTCCGCAGTTTATAGAGACAGGAGGCTGTCTCTGTGCCATGAGTTCCTGCTTTTCTTAGCAGCGTGCACCCCTGAGGGAAGACTGAAGGACAAACGTCCTCTGCCACACTTGGCCACAGTGGCGTGGTGGCTATAGGGAGTGGTGGGGACTGCGGCTAACTGGAACCGGCCCATTGCGCCCACTGGAGGGGAGGCCCTCCCCCCACGGTGCCAAGCAACACACCATCCTGCTGCCTTTAGGAACCGGAAACCAGGACTAGGATTTGTAGGTGAAAACATCCTATGAATCACAGTTGCCACCAACTGCTTTAAAACTAGAGCCCCTGGTTAATGACCTGCTGGGCCATGGCAGCTGTGGAAAGGCCTGAGGCAGGGTGGGTCAGGCTGGGAGCTGCTGTGGTCCAGGGGTCTTCAGCACACCCCCAGGGGCTGCTTTCCCGGGTGCCCACCCCAGCTGCCCCCTCCTGGCCACTCACTGGGATGGTGACCCGGGCTGGTGCTCTCTCTGCAGCCTGTCCCGCCTGGCGGACACGGGGTCCTTGGTCACAATTTTCCAGCTGCCAGTGCCCAGGGCAGAGGCCCAGCACCACACTGTGATGACCCTGGCCACCCAGGGAGGGTCCTTGGGGCAGAGCTGCCATCTAACCCATCCTCAGCTGATGCCAGAGTTTTTTCCACCATGGCTTAGGTAGGGGACTCACCGCTTCTGGTAATAACAATAACAGCTGGCTTTTTTTTTTTTTTTTTTTTTTTT